CGTAAATGGACTGTTCGATTCTGAGAAAGTGCACTTGTTTTTCATTCATTTGTCTACTAACTATTAATTTATACTCATCACTAAAAACATTGTCTTTTGTTTCTTATATTGAAAAAAAAACGTAGTTTTTAGTATACTTTGTACATTTTGGTACAAAAAAGAAATTGTAAACATACATTTTGACTATATTAGCAAATTGTACATATACATTTTGTTTTTGATTTCCATTGGAGACACTGACTTTCATTAAATACTATTCATATTAAAATGTGATATCAACCACCAATCGATGATCTTGCCCTATTCTTTCCAGGTTCTTGTTTTTCTTGGTTTTCAGACAAGATTCTTTTTCTATTCTTTCTATACAAGATTCTTGCCTGAAAAAACTGATCTTGCCTTTCTGACAAGATTCGTGTAGACCGAATCTTGGCTGGTGAGGCAAGAAGTTCTTCTCCAGACAAGATTCTTGTATTCTTGCTTTCTTGCCTGATTCTTGCTTTTCTTGAATTCTTGTCTGATTCTTATTTTTCTTGATGTTCTTGCCTGATTCTTTTTTTCTTAAATTCTTGTCTGTTTCTTATTTCTTGTGTTTCGTGCCTAATTCTGGTCACATTAAAAAAGCCTTTTGTAGGTTATTATTACTCTTTTTTCATATCGTTTTATTATAAGCTTTGCACACCATGTACAAAAAATGTAAAAAAAAAAAACAAAAAAATACTTTTAATTTCACATGTTGTTAAAGCAGTTTCAGTTTTTAATACAAAAAAAAAACAAAATTTTAATTATCAAAAAAAAATACTTATTTTTTCAAACTTCATCATCGTTGTGTGTTGAGCTAGCTCGATTAAAATAAGTCATTTACAATTTGTTCAACTAGTAAATGATGTAGAGATAATTGAGTACGATGGTGTTGATCTTTTTTCTTAGCACGCCATCGACGTTGTTTATCTGTATGTGGTGATGACTCTAAAAAAGATAGTATTTTAATCAAAAAGATATAAAGTGCATATAGATATTACCTATACTACCAAGAACATTATCAAACAATAATTTTTTGATAAAATCGATATTTCCTTCGTCCATTAAAAAAACACTTTTGTGGATAATGAAATAAAATCTAAAAAAAATAAAATAGAAAGATGTGGATTGGTAAAATATCGAAATGTGTTTAATAAGTGTAAGTTTTCTGAAAACAATGGAATAAAAGATATCATATATTCCACTGTTTTCTCGATATCGAATGGAAACTTTTTCTATACATCCAATTGAAATAATGAATAAATAACGTTCAGACATTGCCTTTATATATTTGATCATACAAAGACGACATCACGTGCTGTTGATCTTGAAAAGCTGGCAAAAATCTTTTTTCTTTTCTATCATAAGAATCTTGTCTGAATACTAAGAAATTTAAAATATCTTATATTTCTTTCCAGTTTCTGTTTTTTCATAATTTTCAGACAAGATTCTTTTGATCTTGAACTTCAGACAAGATTCTTTATCTTTTCTTTTAACAAGAATCTTGTCTGAACGTTAAATATATCTTGAATATCTTATAATTCTTGCCTGATTCTTTTATTTCTGATTAATCAGACGAGATTCTTGTCATCTTGAAATTCAGACAAGATTCTTTTTACTTTCCTGTCGAAAAGAATCTTGCCTGAATACAGGAATCTTGTCTGAAAGTAAAGAAAAACAAGAACCTGGAAAGAATAGGGCAAGATCGTCGATTAGTG